GCGCGACCAGGAAGACCAGTGACCGAGACTACTGATGAAAATATCGAACAAATTCGCATCGCTATTGATGATGATCCTTATGTGACAATCAGAGAGCTGCAAGAAAATACTAGTCTGAGCTATGAGACTACTCACAGAATAATCTTAGATCATTTGAAACTCAAAAAGCTTACTGCTTGATATGTACCTAAACACCTGACCGCTTCCCAACGAGCTGAACGAGTTCGAATATGTAAAGAAAATTTAGCAAAATTCGAACAAGGAACATGGTGGGTGTGGGGTGTGGGTGTGAGGGTATGGGTGTGGGTGTGAGTGGGTGTGGGGAGGGTGTGGGTGTGAGTGGGTGTGGGGTGGGTATGGGTGTGGGTATGGGTGTGAGTGTAAGGGTATGGGTGTGGGTGTGAGTAGGTGTGGGTGTGGGTATGGGTGTGGGTGTGGGTGTGGGTGTGAGTGGGTGCGGGTGTAGGTGTGGGTGTTGATTGGATATCATAAAAAGGCACCCACACACAAACTCACACCACTCCACACCCACCCTAGTCTTAATGACAACATACTTCCAGATCAACTCACAAAAACAAAGAGAGATAATGAGAAAGATTACAAAATTCAACAGTAAAGACTTAATACATTTTAATTGAGTGTTTTTTTTATATCGGAATATTTTCAATTAGGGTGTGGGTGTGGATGCGGGTATGAGTGTTATGCCGATATATACGTCACGGCTCACTTCTCTTTCTCTTTCCTCTTCCTCTCTCTATTGTTCTCTGTGTCGTCTCTCTCTCTTTGTTTCTCTATCATATATAAGCTTGTGTTGAATGTGCAATAGACACATTCTGGAGATGTAAAGTAGCTAATAAACATCATTGCCGAGTAGCGGCTAACTACTCCTCTAGTCTGTTATGACATCATCTCTTGCCATTTTATCGTTACAAGTGTTCACTTCTCTTTATCCATACCCACACCCACACCCTGTTTCTCTTCTCTTTGATCCATCCTTCTCTGCCTTTATGTGGTTAGTATTTTCCAAATCAAATCGAATTCACGTTTACTCAAACTTGCAGTTAAAATCAGGGTTGCCAGATCTTCTCAAAAGTCACGAAAGTTTCTGAACTTGAAATATTTTTCCGGTTTGTTGTCGAATTCCAAACGTTTTTAGGTGGTGACTTTACCAGCGAAATTAATTACAAGTATAATCCATTAATATTATAGATCTGTATTCCATTACCTTCTTTTCTTTCTTAATCTTTTGTAGTTTCTGAGTTCTGCAGTCACTGACGAGTGCTTTGTAAATTTTTGTGTTGCTGAACTTAAGAATGAATACTAATTATTTTTTCTGAACGATTTTGTAAACATATTTTAGTTCAAAAACATTTATTGAAGGAATTTTGAACAAAGGAAAACTTGAAAAATAATATGAAATTTATGTTCTATAATCTTTATTATTTTTCGTAAGATTTTTTGATCTGCATGGTTTGTATATATATGATTTGTTTGCGCATATTTTTCGCAAACAGAATTTTGAACTTCGTAAAAGAATTCGGCATTAACAATCGAGGGGCGTGTATTGTAAGTTAAATTGATTGACCATGTTCCGGTCAAATGAACACCCTCACTGAGAAACTAACGAATTTAAAATATGAGCTGCTGTTGGCGTACCCGAACAGAGATATTCAATTTTTAAGTTATGCATTATTTGATGTATAGAAGGATGATAATAACAGGTACTCCAGAAATAATCAGCCTCTCTATATTTTTTAGATTTTTTTTCTATTATCCCTGTAGTTAAGGCTCTTTTTATTATCAAAAGGTAGCACTTGAAATTCTCTGCAAAACTATATATGACTAAGTCCCAAAATAGTTTTTGATATAATTGAAAAACAGATGAAAACTAAAGGTATTAAAAAAAATTGTAAAAAGTAATGGGTGTTCTCTAATAAATCATCATACTTTGCATTGTATATTTTAATCTCTAAATAAGTTTTATTCCAAAAAAAAACAGTATACTACAAGATGAAACGTGAAAAACTCTAAACATTACAGAGACTAAAGCTCATTTCAATTGGACACTTTTTGTTAACAAAAGAAAGTAAAACTCTATGAGACCAGTTTTCACCATTGCTCACACCAATCGCACAGGATTTCGAACTTTTTGAACATAAAATGTACACAAATAAAATAAAACGTTCTTCGTAGATTTTATATTTTTTCATACTGCATCTTATGATATATTTTCTTTGTTTTAAAAGAACTATATGAGGTAATAACAAGAAAAAAAAACAAAAAAGGAATTCTTATATGTAAGAAGAATGATTTGTCATAACAGCAAAAACTGGTCTCATAGACTTTTACTTTCTTTTATTAACATAAAGTATCCAATTGAAATGAGCTTTGGTCTATAGTATTTAGAGCTTTTCACCTTGCATCTTGTAGTATACTGTTTTTTTTTTGAAATAAAACTTATTTAGAGATTAAAATATGCAATGCAAAGTATGATGATTTATTAGAGAACACTCATCACTTTTTACAATTTTTTTTAATATCTTTAGTTTTCATCTTTTTTCAATTATATCAAAAACTATTTTGGGACCTAGTCATATATAGTTTTGCAGAGAATTTCAAGTGCTATCTTTTGATAATAAAAAGAGCCTTGACTACAGGGATAATAGAGGGTGTAGGTGTCATTGAAGAAAAGACCCACACCCACACCCACCCTCCCAAATAAACATTGTCTTTTAATGTTTTTTAAAATTTATTAGACTATAAAGTAAATCTGAAAATAAGTTAGCGTAAAAGTAGTTGGGAACGTTTACAGTTAAAATAAACTTCAAACATGATTTGACAGGTATGATTTTATTCAATATAAAATCATTGTCCTAAATGACAGCGATGAAAAAAAAAAGTTTTAAATTAGCCTCATTTAACATTATACAATTCATTTTTTTTGTTCCATCATGCAAATTTTTATTTATGGTGAAATTTAAAAAATCCTGGTTAAAATTCTATTAAATCGCACTATTTGAATGCTTAATAACATGTTGAAATCGATCAATTAATCTTGTAGTTCAATGAAATAGACAACTGGTAAATCATATATTGTGTGCATAATTGAATCGAACCGTTTTTTATTTAAAACACTCCTTTCGAATAGGCATCATTATGGTATCCTATGGCTAGTCATTTTCTCAAAAAGACTAGACATAACAAACAGAATGAAGGATATTGGTTACATGAGCTGCGACCGACAAATAATTCCGTATTAACAATGTACTAAAACTTTTTGACAAAAAGATTAAACAAAACGTAGCGTCATGACCAATCCTTTTAATCGTTCTTTGCTCGCCTGGCCATCTTCAGGATCTTCTTGACAAAGAAATATCATTAATAAACGGCACTGGAATCTCTGCGTAAGTTCGGAACAATTCTTCTGTTTAGCATGATCGACATCATCCCTAGTAAACATTCAATTTATAAATTAATCTTAATTTCTTCTATAACTACCTCTATAAGAGCAGCTAGTTAAATGATAGCTATCATGTATGGATAAATATCCAAATAAGAAAAACATGAGCAATATGTCAAAAAGATGAAAAAATCAATAAGATAAGACATGTGTCATGGATGCATAAAATAATTTACCATTTTGATTCATTAATAGCTACTACCTTTTGAAAATAGTGTTAATATTTATGGGTTATAATCACTATATCACAATAATATTAACGCATAATAAAAATCTTTTATTGAGCACGAATAAAAGAAAAGAGCAAATAATACTAAAACTAGAAAAGAAAATCAGAGTTTCAATGTAAACTCGACACCAGAGAACTATAGGTCGAAACTTTTTTAATCTCATAAACGGCGAGTCCAGTTTGAGGATGTGCTATCCATTACGGACTTATCCTATATGTCATCTAATGACATCAAATGTTAAAACAATTGAAGAAAAAAGTAGTAATGTATTGTACATCTGTCATATAGAAAAATACAACAATTGAATTTACTGTCCGTTTCAAAACATAGTGCGCGCCACTGTTTTTTAAATAATTCAAGAACGGAATGAGCTAGAAACCTGCAGTTTTCACCAATCGATAGATGAGTCAGGGGGACGTCTTTGTCTCAGATAATGTGTCAGGCGAAATCCTTTTAAAACTACTCATCTTTGAAAGACATGGAAAAGAATGCGTGAAAATGACCTGAATACTCTTCTTATTGCATTCTAATGTTGACCAAATGGAACCATGCATTTACATGCGCAAATAATAGGGAATTTTACCGATTTTTTACTATGTTTTTGCATTTTTATCATAATAGCTAGAGATTTCGATGAAAACGTAAGGAAAAGTAAGGAAGTGCATTGTATCTTAAACTATAGATATCAAGTTCTTCTATCTAAATCAAAGGTCAAAATCAAAATTTCATCTGAATGACAGGTCATTTTCATGCATTCTTTTCCATGTTTTTCAAAGATGAGTAGTTTTAAAAGGATTTCACCTGATACATTATCTGAGACAAAGACGTCCCTCTGTCTCATCTATCGATTGGTGAAAACTGCTGGTCACTAGCTCGTTGCGTTCTTGAGTTATTTAAAAAACAGTGGCGTGCACTATATTTTGAAACGGACAGTAGGACATTTCATTCCAATAGACTTTATTTATTTGTTAGCATACAATTAAAAATATTAAATGGTGATAGACACCTACAATATTTTGTTATAATCATCTATTACTCACCTATTTTCATACAGAAGCATACTTGATAATATTTTGCAAGGTATTTCATTTATAGAATAGTTAATGTCAAGCTATATTGATGAATAACAAGTGACAGAGATATTATCATTACATGTTGATGAATGAGTATTACTAATAAATTATTAAAAAGACATATTATTTTCCACCTACGATGTCATGCTTGTATTTATTTTTCATCGTTTCTGTCTTTGCGCATACATATATTTATACGTGTGCATAGATATTAAACAACACCAATCTCAACATCAAATGCCATTTTTACTTACTGCAGGTGCTGCTGGTTTAGCTGGCTATGCAATTGCTAAACGTAAAGAACGTCGTAAATCAGAAAATGAATTTATACAACATGACAAAAATAAATATCGTCGTAAATCAGAAAATGAATTCATACAATATGATAAAAATAAATATCATCCACCACAATATGGTAATTTACATTATGGTAATGTAGTTCCATATTACCAACCTCCATCTTATTATCATTATCACAGTGGTTTTTACTATAATACAGGACCATATTAATATTTTACGGACGATGGATATATAATAGACGTTAATGTTACTTTTAACAAGACTTTTTAAAACTAATAACATATTTTTCATGTCAAAATTGAACTCAATAAAAAAGAAATTGGATAATTTTATTTTTCTGCTGAATACTTGATAAAATATTCGAAAGAGATAAGTATGATTGGCTGACAATAGATTGATCATAAGAAGTAGAAATAAAAATAAAACAATGAGACAATGTATTCTATATTAATTTTATTTTTGATCTAGGATTGTAATCGAATATCATAGAGATATAATCTTTGATTTATTAGAAAAAAACGACATTTCTAGTATAGAAATATAGTACCAAGCATTCAACTTAAATCTGAATGTTGGTAGTTATCAAGTGCCAAAAAACTGTATGAGAATTATTGTTGAATGTTACCATCTTCAAGAACACAAATTATGAATAAAATGAAAATACTCTGGTTATTCTTCAGGTTATCTTTAAAAAGTCATAAGTACTAATTGTGTTAACTTTTTAGTGTGGAATGCATTTGATAGAGAGTTTGATTGTCTATTCAAACTATTATTTTAATTTAAGTACCAAAACTCCCTATTGTAGAAAAAAAATACGTAGATTTTCTCTTTCGAAACTTATTTCAATTCAGACAAGAAAAATTCATGCAGTATTGAAGTTTTTCTTTGTGCATAACTGATGAATAGAAGATATCAATTTATTTTAATTATTAATTTTAGTCAAAAAAATTTAATTATATATTCGAAGAAAGTCCTCTATTAAACAATATTAACTATTTAAAATAGGATACATAGATTTTCTGTATGATATAAAAAATAGACATGATTGTGATCCTTCTCAGTAAGTTTTCTCTCAAGTTCTGAGCATAATGATACTATTACTTCATAGAGCATTAAAAAAAAGTATATCGATGTGCAAACTTACTCTTCATACTAAGTTTGAAAAAGAAAACACGATACAGATCATAGTTATTATTGAAAAACATCGAAAGTGAAAGACTCCATAGGACTATTTAGTTTACGAAGAGTAGCTTGGCTTTCAACAAATTCAAAAAATAAATGCACAGATATAGTATGTGTCATAAGTTGTGCATCACAATAAAAATTAATTTACATTCAAACAGAAAATAATCTCTTACTGTATGTGTTTATATGAATACTCGTACTAGCGTTTAAAATGACATCTTCTCTTATAATAAGAAGAATTTAAATAACAAAATATGTCATGTTTAATCTAATTAAATCGATCAACGAGCCTTTTTATTTTAATTAAAAGTAATCAACTCATTTGCTATAAAAAGTATTACAAGGATCAATCATTAGATATACTGTGAACGTTTATTCAAGCGTTGTCTCGAGTTTATGATCAATCAGAATCTATGTTGAACGAACAGTTCAAAATAAATTGAAGTACATGAATACATCCTACACTCAAAGACAAAAAGAACTCCTTTTAGAAAGGGAAATTTTTCATTTTACATATTGTTCATAGGTTTCGTAATGATCTGTCTCTGACATAGGGGTGGGAGAGAATTTCGAAAGCAGAATTTTTATAGAATTTTTGTGAAAATATAAAAAATATAAAGGACGACTTTTTTAGTAAAGAAAAACATTTGAAGAGGATTGTCATATGCAAGAGAATCTTCGAGATTATAAACAATTTTCAGTGGAACTTTCCAAGAAATCGAAAACCAATAATTATTCAATTTGGTGAGGTGTGGGTGTGGGTCTCTATCTTGTCTTCATCCACACCCTTGGTAATATAAATGAATGAAACATAACAATCTAAATCTGTGCCCAACCTCCATCGACGAAAAGTTCGATACCTGTGATTTAACTACTATCATCTGAGGCGAGAAAGACCACAGCTGTGGCTACTTCATCAGGTGTGCGAAGACGATTCAGTGCTGCGGCACCTGCACGTTTGGCAAGAAATACTTTCATTTCTTCTTCGCTCAGTCCAGGGCAAGGGTGAGGGTGGGCTGAATAAGAATAAGCAGCGATGATGTGAAAGAATTCTGATCGATGAAACAGAAAGGTTCTATTGGGAAAGATTCCTGTATTTTTGAAGTTCTTGTTTGATTCTTTTTTCTTTCTTGCATATTGTTTAGTGATTCATTTTAGTCTTCGTTGACATTCTCATCGGTCTCAAAATACTTATTTCTTTGTTAGAAAAGAAATCGGTAAGGCGAGAACAGTCATCTGACTAAATGGGACGTTTATGTCTGTTGTTGATACCGTCGGTGACGCGATAAGTAAAACATCTTCTCTTGAATTTTATTTTATTTTTTTCTTCAGTTGACATAATGAGCCATTGAATACTCCATTCATAGGATTGCAGTTTACGAAAAATATTTTATTTTTATATGAAATGAACCAGCGATTGTAAAAAGAAAAATATCAAAATCAGCTTTTTGATACTGTCAATATAACTAATGATGATTGTATGATTTTACATTTCATGCCAAGCCATCGCAATAATGAAATGAGTTTAATTCCAAGTTTGATAAAATTTCAAATTCTTACGCTCTTCTAAATAAACAAATATTAGTATACTTAGTGGAGAAAACATTTAGTCCTCTAAAGTGAATGATAAAGTAGATTTTATTTATATTCTTTTAAATATCTTTAGAGTAGTTATGCTGATTAGTTTGAAGGTTTCATTCTCAATGGATACCATACCATTTGCCTAACTGAATAAAATGATAGCTCGGGAAAAAACTAACTTTAATCGAGAAGTTTAGAAACAATCGAAATTATGATTTTGTATTCTTCAAAAAAGAGAGTTGGATAGAATCTGTTCAGATTCTACGCTCGAATAGATATCAGAAAACCTGAACATCGGCTCCAATATCTGCATTAATTACCTTCTAACTTATCAAGAACTATTCTTAAAAAGTTCGACTATCGGATAAAACATTGGAATGTGAAGATTATCAGAGAACTCGTTTTCTACACCGTATGTTTTTCTGAAGTCCACTACATCCAACAGTATTCAATTCAGCTGTTATTGCCCCGGTGAAAGACAGAGAGTTGTAAACGGCCATGTAATAATCAGTTGCGGCGAAAAACGGCAGCCGTCTACGGTGGTCATTTACTACGATCGCAAACGATGTTTTACGGCGTTTTTATGGCCGTTGTAAACAATGGACGTAAAAAGTCGTCGTTAACAACTACCGTAACAATACGACGACCGTATATACGATTCGAAAAACACCATAAAGAATCGCCGTAAGCGGCGACAGTATGATTACCACTCTAGTTTACGCTTACTGAATATAACAATATATGATACCGTTTACCTTAACTGTTTCCAGTAATTGTCTACTGTAATAAGAAACGATGACTCACGACGATTTACGATTGTCGTCTAAGCTCACGGAAAAGGACCCGATTGAAAATCATATACAGTACTCGTATATCGTTATACGGCGAAAACACACGGTAATAAAGGCTGCCCGTTTACTTTGGTGCTGCGATCTCCTAAAAACCAGAGATTCCTCTTGACTGTCACAAGATGGCTGTTTTCCTAATCTTTCCAATGAAAAAGCCTCTTTGCGATTTTTCAGCAGAACTGGAGACATAAAAACCTAGTGCAAGCGGACAGAAGATCTATTGTTCTCTTTTCGACGACACCTGAAACCCCTACCGTATGAACACTAAAACCAGAGAAAATCAGAGTTTTTGCTGATTTGTTCTGATTTCGAAAAAAATCCTAAACTCCTACGTTGCCATTTCTATGATAAGAAAATACCCAGGATTCTTCTTAATATTCAAAAGTTCTTCCTTTTGAAAGATTTTTTGATGATTAAAAATCTTACTGATGGATCTTTGTGACGATTAAAAATTCTGTATTAAGATTCTATGATAGAAAAGAATCTTTGAGTTGAATTTTGTTGATGCTTTGGTGCGGTATGAGAACGGGACGGGGAAGGTAGGAAGTCTGAGATTTCTTCTTCGAGGAAACTCATATAATGTGTTTTGTTTTCTGTTCAGTATGCGCCGTATACGACCGTAACAGGAAACGATCACAGTAGGAAGTGTCGAACATTTTGGACGTTTACGTGAATAATACGATCGTAGGCGATCGTTTCCATGATTTGTACGGTCGTGAACTTTCCTGAAAACAGTCGTAATATGATGGCCGCACTGTCGTTCACGCCTGCAGTTTCCAATCGTTTGGGATACAGTGAAATATGGCCGTAATACGGAGCATGTCAAAACGATAAAATAACGCACATATGCGGTCGCAAATGCGGCGTTTACAACCGTTTTTGTGATAGTAAATGGTCGCTTATGATCGTGTTGTGTCGTCGTAAATATCGTCCTGAGTCAAGTTTCTTAATAATGTGATTTGGCATATTGTAGAACTGTTAATTGTAATCAGAAGGTGTCTATAGCAGTGATCCGGCAGAGAAAATGTTTCTTGAGCGTATGTTTTGTTATGGAACAGCCTTTACGAAAAAAAAAATCCGTGATTTCAACAGTTTGGTATGTACTATCTGCAGTCTTGTCGTTTCATTGTATAAGCAACCCATCGAGAAATATGCGAAGATAGGCAGAGTGTCATACCTTACTATCATAAGATACTTTTTAACGAAAACTATGTAAAACGTTTGATTCGACCTTCTTTATATAAATTAAATGCTCACCTAGTTCATAACCTCCCTTCATCACACGTTGTATGGATTAAGACTAATCGAGAATGGTTTTCGGAAGAATCCTATGCTTGAGACAATATGAAAATAGTATTAGCAACTCTTGAATACAAGTTTAGTACGTATTCGAATGACAGCAGTTTAGAAACCATGTAAATTTTATGTCAATGTAAAGAAAGTGTCTGACACGTTATCGATCTGATTTTAAAATATTAAGGTAGAAAAAATCTGGTGAATAAATGTCTAGAAATAGTGAAAACAAACGTTTACCTTCACTAACGGGAATTTGCCAATGGTCAGTACCGATTAGGAATGGTGACGCGTTTGGCATTCGTTTGATCTTGTCTAAATGTAATATAGACAGAAATGAACTACCTCCAAGTTCTTGTAATTTGACTGTATAATGTTCCATATCATATTCATTATCATCACGTACTATACTAATAAGACGAAATGTTGCAAGTGGAGCATAGAGAACTTCTTCTTCTTCAGGAAATTGTGAAACAATTGATATATCAGCATTGGAATGTAATTTTTGTGCTTCTTGACCTTCAGTTGAAAGTGTTTGTATTTCGAATAAGACATTGCCACCAACTTGAGCACGTGCACGATTTTTTGATGTCGCTGTAAAACAGACAAAATAAATCTTTTGTCCTTCCAACGAGATAAGTATGGCAATATTTTCTTCTGACATTGATATGCCTCGATAAAGAATACCTGAAAAGTATGGAAGTAATTTTGTATAGAACATTTCAAAATAGTCATAGATAATATAACGTAAACAATGTATATTATTCAAGGAACATTCAGCTAATGCAGTATTGACCAAACGATAAAATGAAATCGGTGATTCAAGAGACCATAAACGAACAAGATATTTGATGAATGTTGTTGAACGAATACAATTACCTGTTCCAAAATATCGACATAGAATAGTAATTTGTTGATCGGTCAAGTTATGACGACGACCGAATATAACTAGCGCTGCCATTTGAACATCAGCTTTTGGCATGTGAATAGGTTCGGGAAAACGTAAATGATGTAATACTTTTGGTATTGAAATGCCATAACCAGAAATATAGCCGATGAATTCAATATGATCATGATCACTAATATCATCCGTTAATATGATATCATGTTTCTCTTGATCCACTGTACCAGAAAACATGTTACCGAATGCTTCGATGTCGACTAGCCAAATAATATGAGCAATAGTCGAACCAAGTATATCTGTTTGAAGAGCAAATTCCTGTAAAAGATATTCATCTTTCGACATAATTAGACATTGTTCATAGTGATATCGTTCTTCCGACCGACATTTTCGACGACATGGTAAATAAGTAAGATAATGATTGTAACGATCAATTTCTTCTTGTTCGTCTGCATCATATATAAAAATACACATAGTTAAACAAACTACAGTTTGAAGTCGTGCTATTTCTTGCATGTCAAAAAATTCATCAGCTATAGTGTTCGCTAAAATAATTTGAGCGTGATTAAATTCATAATTACGCATAAGATAAAATACTGCAGAATCAACATCTTCGAATGAATGAAAATCAACATGTTCACATGTACAAAGTCTTGTATAAGTTGCATTATCATCTTTCTTTTGCTGAAGATCAGGATCAATCCAGACAATTAGTTTACGAACCACAACGCCAGAGTTAACTTCACAATTATGCTTCCATTTTGCCATTGCTTCATCTAAATATCGATTTAAATGTTTTAGTTTAGTACACAATGTTTAGTAGAATTCAGTAATGAACATTTAGAGGAAGATGAAGAATCGAAAAAGATTTTGCTTTATGTTGTGTAGAACTGATAGATATTATCGAACTATTTGCATTCTAAGTCAAAGTAAAACTCAATTGTATATGTCAAAGCTCGTCAAGAGAAAAGATGTTGTTCTCGAATTTTCGAAGTAATACAATATTTTAGAACTTACGTATCAACTATAAAAATTGAAGAAGTTGTGAATATGCTATAAATATATAACAGTCAAAGTATGTGTCTTCTACATCTCAGTTCCTCATAGTGCTACAATAACAAGTCCTTTGCTCCTGATTAAGTGTTATATAAAAGAAAAAGTATATTGAATAATTTACATAATATTAAAATCTCAGATTATTTAAGCTTTGTCTTACTTCTCTGTGAGACACTAGAAAAAACTCTTGAGTAAATAATTCTGCTTTAAACCATGAAAGAATTTTCAGAGTTTAGCGAAAGATTTTCATTGGTTTTTCATTAATGTATATCCTCTCTGCCAGAAAAATCTTTTATTTCTCTATGAATCGAATCAAAATTCATTTCTCTTATCGTAACTTGTAAGTACTCATGAACAATTCTTCTAGACAAAAAATTGTCCCACTGGATAAAGTTTTACATTATATAAGCGAAACTGTTCAATTTTTTATTTGATTCAATATTATATACGAATATGAAACGAACCATATTGAGTCTAACTGATTGGTTCAATTATAATAGATATGTTCTGTTTTACATTATGCTTAACTTCCTTCTTCTCATAGTTTTTTATCAGAACGTATTGTTCGGCAAAATCTTCTATTTCTTTTACAGTCTCAATGTTGATTTATTACGATAATATCCTACTTACCCCATCGATGATTTTCTTCATCAACTTTCTCTCGTAGTAATGGCTTAGTTATTAGACGCATATATGACACACTACGGGCAATATCATTTAATTGCAATGAATCGTGTTCTGTTGGAGTTTTGACTTGTATTTGCATTTGAGAGCCAAATACGTTTTTGAAACAATAAGCTTGACATTGATGAATAAGTTGCTCTTGTAAAGGCCATTGTTTTCGATAGATAGAAAGACACATCTCAAACCATCGATTTGCTTGAGAATGATCATTTATTTTAATAAAATGCAGAGCTAAACGTCTGCCAATATCGGCAATAATTTTGTTCAATTCATCATTAGCATCATCACTTAGAATTTCTTGATACATGAGAGTAAGTCTAGTTTCCAATTTTTCGGCTACCGATGTCAGATTCAATAACTCACTAAGACGATGCAAACTAGCAAGTATCATTGGATGATTCATTGGTTGATTTCGATCACTAATTGAACAAGAAAATAAATAAGATTTTAATGCCATATCAATAAGATCCTTTGCTCGATACTTGTCTCCAATTTCAATCGCGCAACCACCAATCAAAACTGGATGTTGACAAAGATAATTCTTTATTTCATATTCTTGTATTATTTGAGTAAATGATGTATTTGCTAGTTCGAGCTTGATATTACAAAGACTTGATATGCTTTGAGCTAGATTGAGTAGTGTTATAGATAAGTTTTGTGGTGAATCACATAGAATCGATAAAGTTTCTCGACAAAGATCTGTCGCTTCGTTTTGTCTATTTTGTTGTATTAAGACTAATACAAGATCAAGTCGAATACGACCAATAAAAGAATCTTCTATGGATATTTGACTTCTCTTATGTAAATCACATGCATTCAAAAGAAATTTTTCAGCATCAAGTAATTTATTGCAACGTAGAGCTATTCGACCTAATGTTGCTAATTTATGAATTTCGATTTCTCTATTATCGGAAGCATGATAATCATAATAAAGGAAATAATTCATCGCCGATCGAATACAATTCATATCGACAAGTAATAAACCAAAAAGAATATTTCGATTGATATATTCACCAACTTGAGATTTCAGATAAATATAAGTTTTCATAAACTGTTCAGTTATATCATCATTTGTGATCGTTTCAAGATGAATATGATAGATATCGAGAATTGAATCAAACTCCACATTCAAAATTCGAAAAACAACACCAATATTGAAGAGAATATTTTCATCGGAAAGATTTAATATTGGAATATTAATAGTATTAATTTCAAATAAAACTTTTCCAAGAAGATTTTGACTTGATTGTTTCTGTTTTTGAAGATGTGTAATAATTTTATCTCGATTTGTATGTCCAATGAGAAAACCAATTGGTGTTAAAAGAACATCTTGATGTTTATATAAAAATGCAATACGTTTTTTACTTATAATTGTACCAACAAAGACACAACATCGTTCATTTGATGTATAAGAAAATGTAATTTTTCTCATTAAATCAATAATAATCGAACGAGCCACATAAATAATATCCATATTGCCTTGTTTAAAAGCATTTTGTAGAATTCTTTGAATTAAAGTTGACTTTTTTGAATTATACCAAATATCTGGTGCTTGATTATTGTACATCATTTCAAAATAATCTATTTCATTAAGTGCGCCAACATTCTTCGAATACCAACATCGAGCTGCTGACACAAAATCATAATGATTACCAGCAGGAATTGTTGAAAGAATTTCACCTAGAAATAAAAGCCAAAGAAAATGACTTGATGAATTAGTTAAATCACATGCAGATTGTGTTTGTTTTGTTTCATAGAAAGCAAATTCAACATTGTATATAGTTGTAAATTCAATATCTGCGGCAAATGAAGTTATACAAGATTGTATATCGGATGAAACAAATGAAACCATTGGAATTTCTTTTGTTGAATTATATACATAAACAGATAATAATAAGTGTGGAGAACGAAATAGTTGATCAATTATAGAATAAAGAGCAACAAAATCAATAAGAACAACAATATATTCCGACTGTCTACATAAAATAAAATTAAGAGCTGCATTAAGACTTTTGATACTGTCAAAATATTTTATATGATATCTGATTAAGTTTAGTTGTCGTCGAATTCTAAGTAGATCATTACTTTTCATTGTCTTATCATCATACATCCACACAATAGTCACATCTTCTCTATTACGTTCTGCTATATGTTGTCGATTTAGTTTTATGATTCTTTCTTGAATTTGCTTCTTAGTTGAAGATAATTTTTTTTCTTCATAATCCTGCAGAATAATTGGTATAAGAACTGTTTTAACATCATCTGTCTTTTTCCAATTATCTAATGACCAATCATAAATGACAACTTGTTCGATGGGAACATCAGTAGTTATGATCTAAATTTAATGAAAGATTTGTATTTTTTTTTCTATTATAACTACTGCTAAAAAATAGATTGAATATAACTGTAGCAGAATTGAAAATCTGTCACAAACAAAGTCATTTTACCAAAAGACGAATTATTTTTGAAAAGAATTTTTACTTCATTTGATAGAATCTTTTGGAAATATAGAATGCAAGTCTAAAAGGAATTGCGCGTATGAGCCTTTCATCTTGAGTTTTATCTATTTGAGTGACTTTTTTTCAGTCAAAATCGATTTTTGAATCTAAACATTGCACTCGTGAAATTTTTTATCGTTCTCATTCATTGTCAAAACATCGAATTTTCTAGTGTCTTCTATTCTACAGTACACATACACATACAGAAACAAAATTTACTTTCAACATCATAGAGAGTTTCCAATTTTGGTCTATCTGGATGGCAAGAACTACATTGAAAGATTTTTTGAGAAGAATTATAAAATTTTCTTCAAACAAAAATCCACATAATCAATTATGATTCAAGAAGAAATATCATTGAGTTAGAATTATTTTAGGTATTCATTATTCTCAACAGAGACAATTGAATAAAGTAAAACTCGTCTCAAAAGTGATTAACTACTTGATGAAATCTACGTGTTAGTTCAAATGAAAAGAAATTGATTATTTTACATCATAATTAATGTAAAATCATAGTTTAAGTAAATAATACACAGCCAGTCATAAATCAAGCTACGATTATTCTGTACATAGAAAATTATTTCAGAAGCCCATATGGTGTAAAAACAATCTTCTTATTATTGTTTCTGCCTTTATTCATATTGGTGAATTTAAAAAAGTCGATTTTATTGTTTTCTAAATCGATAATTTTATTTTCAAAAGATGAAAAATACAATTTTTCTTGTCGCCACTCAGGAATGGCAAATCGAGTGAGTAAATTCACTTGGATACAAAGAAATATATTTCATCAATTGATCTATCGAGAAGACCGATATTCTCTTTTAATAATTGTTTCATTAGTAACTCTTCTAGATCCTTCATTGAAATAAAAATATTAGTGAAAACTATGGAGATTTTCAATATAGTAGAAAATATATTAATATTCTGTAATGTATCAAATGACGTTAGTGATTAATCAATCATGATCTTTTAGAAGTTGGTTTTTGTTGATTTTTAATAACTGAAACTGCGGTTTCAATTTCGTAAAATAATTAAAACTTTCATATTCTATTAGGTAATCTTATCAATGATGATAGTCACTTCAACTCAAGAACAATCGCATATGATAGTATTCTTACTTGTCTTGTTAATGAATCAATACTGGTATACGTCTCTTGTTTCGGTATTACCATAATAGAATAAAAAATATCGATTGCTATTTGACGAATTGTTGCATCAAATGACTCAAAGTTTGTAGCACATTGTCGAAGTAAAGACAATGATTGTGAATTGTTTAATTCTTGCTTTGTTTGAAATTCATATCGTAATAATAATGCTTGAAATTAAATTTTCACATATTTAGTTTTTAATAATAAATAAAAGTAATTTTTTACTTACATTTTAAATAACAAAGAATTCTATTAACTTGTATGGATTGATTTCTATTTAATGTTTTTAAAAGAGAATTCATTAGAATGAATACTAAATTTTCAATATCATCTTCATCATATGAATTAAATTTTATTAATAAACAACAAGCATAAAATACAGCATTATCATCTTGTTCTGAACAGAGAGAAACATCACAAGTTAATTCATGAAGAAAAGGAATAATAATTTGAAATGCATTCGATTGTGATGAAAATTCATAATTTGAAAATATAAATAAATGTTTAATTATTATATCGATTAAATGATAATTTTGTGAATCTTTTGATAGAAGAAGAATAGAAGCAAATTGATTGAGTAAGGTCGTATATAAATTCAATTCTTCCTCATTAATATTTAGATCATTTAATCGAATAGAAAATATTGTTATAAAATAATCAATAATAGTTATTTTATATGGTGTCCACCAATCAACAGACAATTGACTTGTTTTTTTAAACCATTGAACAAATGATTGAAGTTGTGATCGACTTATAATCGTTTGCCAATGATGTCCATATGATGTTTTCAAATTTGCCATATAATGTAAACAATTTTTCAGTATCATTCGTTGTTCAGAAGTGATACTTGCACTCGCTATATCTTTATTAAAATGAATTGATGTAATATATTGTACAATAGAATTTATTAATTGTTCATGAATAGGATTATATGCTATATTGTCAATATCTTTATCATGTAGTCGATGAAATGCTGCAATCATTGAATCGACAATTGACATAAAGAAAGAATTTTCTATGTGACCATTTGTTATATCATTAAGACAATCACAAAGTTCATCAATAAATGATTTTTTCAAGAAGAAATTTTTGAACATATGAATATTTGTATTTGTAATACCAATTGATAATTGACATAAAAAAGTATTTAATTCTGATAAAGATTTTAATTGATTAGTATCGTTTGAAATATGAATTAATTGTCGACCTTCTTTGAGAAGTAAACGATAATATACGAAAAGTTTAGAAAATACATTATGAGAAAGAATAGTTGTAGCACATAAAAGTGATCCAGGATAAGAATTTAAAGTATTTACAATAGTTACTATTGTTTTCTTAACGTTCGTATCAAGACTAACAGGTAGATTAAATGAATTTAAAACACTTAGTAGATTATTAATTGATTCAGTAGAAACTGGATTTTGTCTTATCATATTTTCCTCATTGAATATCAGTACAACGAAAGTTCATTTCGTTTATTAGAAATTTCAATCCACAATAATATCTACAAGAAGAAGAAAATGCGATAGTTATTTTTATTTCATTTTGAACATCGTTTTTTCACATGAATTTATTTTTCATCAAGTTTATCACGATTCTATATAATTTCAATAAATCTCAGCACAATCAGTAATATTTTTAAGCAATAACGTAAGTCGATTGTAAGATAAAATTAATTGTAAAAAGCTTTTTGATTTTCAATAAACTACCAGATGTTTCAAAACATTTGCACACTTTTTATTTTGCATATATTACAGCATGAATAAATGATAAAATCCTAATTATTTTCTACGGGGGATGCGCTATGAAAAAGTCTACAAAAAAATGCTTGACCGAATTCCAATTAACATATTCTGATGATTTTCCCTAGAGCCAAAATGAAACACTACATTTTAGAGCTATTTCCCATCATATTAACATTAGTTCGTGTCACGTTCGGCATTTTTTCATAGAAACTTTGGATGTTTTTGAACTAGAACATGTTCATGCAGTTTCATATCAGTTAGAAAACGCACCTGAAAAAGAAACTTCTACTTGATATTAGACGATATTCAGTAAAGTATTACTAGACACTCTCAATTGAAGATATGCGATGACATATCCGATTACACGTGATCTCTATGTTCGGATACATATTTCAATACAGCAAATCACTCTTCACTTTAACTTGAAAATATATATGAGTATGACATGACAGAATAATTCAATTATTTTCATTGAATTCAAAACTAATTTTGAGATATTTTTATGACTTTTTTTAGAACATTCTACTATAACTTATTGTGTTGTAGATATGAGTGATTTCATTTTCTGATATAATTTTTTAAATTGCAAAAATAGTCTATTTAATTTCAACCTAATCATCTTGATGAAAAATAAACAACGACCAATTTATACATCTCTTTGCTTCTATCTGTAGTTTTTGTTAGAGATGCTTGTGGCCGTGTTTACAGTTATACATAGAGTATTTTAAACTTATATATGATTGTTTTTGCGGGAACAAACAATGACGATCAATGTAAAAATAGTTAAAAGTTTAACGACATTAGAGAAAAAAGATGTTACAAATTTGATCATGGAAACACATTAAAAAGTTGTTTTTAATGAAGTTTCATGAATTATTTGGCATTAAACTGCTTTTAACGACAGAACACGTATGAAATTTTGTTAAAAATCATTGTTTAACGCGTTTTCATGATCAAAATTGTAACATTTTTTTATCATTAACATCTTTCAATTTTTAACTATTTTTACAGGGAGACAACTAGAAAAAAATGAATTAAAAATAAGCAATTTTACAAAAATAAAATATTGTTGTGACATCTAAAACGAAATATTTTATTCTACATAGAGACTTTCTTCCGTTTAGAAATAAAACAATACTATGCAAGTTGATGTAACCAATATTACAAAGATACAATTAATTACCAATTATACTTATTTATATTTTACATCACAATTAGACATGTAAATCCGTTTTTAGAATAGTACAACACGTCTATAGGTGACTCACTCTTTTACGTACCTGCAGACAACAGTTAACTTGGGAAAAAAACTGATTATTATTATTTCAGTCGGTAGTGTCGTACATCGAAGAATAATTTTTTCTTCTTTTTTTTTCGATACAACCCGTTTCATCAGAACTAAAAAATAAAAAGAAAGAAAAGAAAATTGTCATGAAAGTTTTGCGCACACTTCTCAGACCATAAAACATGCTCTAAGAACAGACATATAAAAATAATTGTCTAGTATTGTAAACAATTTTGTTGTGTTATTTTTTCAGTGGCTAATACAAAAAAAATGAGTCGATGCTAATATATTGTTGTAATTACAAGCGAATAATCAATAGATCAATCACGAATTGCTTAATCTAGTTTCTATTGTCAATTTTATTTTCAAGATTTTTCTAACAAAATAAAAATATTGACAAGAACAATGAAATAAAATAAAAGCAACAGTTCACAAGTAATTTAATGGTATATTTATCAAAAATAATAAAAATATGCACGTTCATGACAATCAGACAAGTCAATATGTTAATATTTTGATCAAAATTATTTATCTATTCGAATTACAAATAAAATATCAATATTTGAAAATTCGTTGTTTGAGATAGTGTAGAAGATCATGATTGTATAAGAATAAATCTACTATATTAATAAGTAGACTTAATGAAGGAAAAAGTTGTAACAAATAAATTAAATGAGATTCTTCCCCATTCAGATTAGTTACTGAAAGAAGACAAAAAGGACCCCATCCGATCATAAATACAATAAAAATAAAGAGCATGTGTTTCAATAAATGAATATCTCGAGTATTAAGACATTTGGATCTAGGAATAGACGACGTCGTTGATATTTCACTCATACGTTGAGTCGATGATTTCACTTGAAGAAAGATGAATAAATTAAAAAATCCATTTAAAATCGAAGGTAATATAACTATAATGAATAATCTGTATACTCGAAGCCAAAATGGTTTTATATTCATATCAAGACATGTCTACAATATAATCAAATAAAATTTTGATTTATTTTGTTTTTTTATTTTATATCTTACCGTAGAAATGATTCCGGATGAAAAAGTAAAATAAGGTAAAGGTAAAATTATAGCTACTATCCATTGTATAACCGATGAGATGAAACACCATGCATGTTTTTTGAATAATTCCTTATTTGGATAGATAACCAAGAAAAAACGATTTATACTAATCATTGTTAATGCATATATCATTAAACAATTAACCATCGTGTGAAAATATAGAGCGATAGCACGTGATGAAGTAAATTTTATCAAAACAGTTGGATAAAACCCACATAACACGAAAAATATAATCCAATGTAGGGCACCAAAGAAAACGATCAAACAAACATTACATGTTAATGTATTAGTTACTGTATGAAAACGTCGAATGAAAATAATCGGTAATATATAAATCCATGTTAAGATAATGATAATCACTAGAATGATGATTTGGAGTATGATTATAATACGACCTTCGTCAGACATCTTCTCTTCGATAAAATGAATGTATACACGCAACTAATCACCAAGAAAAAGAAAATTATCTAATTGTTGATGCAAGATACTTATCATCAAGTGGAAATAATACCTCGTATCATATCAATCTATAAAATAACCTAGAATTAGTTGTTATCAGAAGAATAATAAATGTTTTTTATGAATATCTAAAGAAATTCTTTTCTATAATTGAGTACGTTCTTGATGGCGTTTTTCTTCTTTTTTTATTTCATAATTCCTTTCAAATTTTCAAAAGAAAGAGACGTTTTTTGACTATTGGTTTTTTTTTGCAATTTACACAAACTATTGTAAGACAACAGCTATAATAGAAAGAATCAAGATGAAACTATTAAAATAGATTTTTTCCAAGTTAGAACGCTGGTTTACGCTGCTCTTTGTAACATTTTACAGCTTCATTCAATGATTGTTTGAATATCAAGTGCACATTGAACGATAGTCCTAATATCCAATCGGTATGATTGCCATTGATCTTAGTTGAATCATACGTCTCTACCTTTGACTTTACATGTAAATGCCACTACTCTACCAGATAGAATATCGAATTTATTGAATATTATATAAGGTACAAGTAGATTGACTATATCATAATGTAAAATATTATAAAACACTGGATTCTGATAGAGCACACAAGTATTTTCGATTCGAGTTTTATTCTAACCACTAGAATCTCACGAAGTTGTCTCGTCAGCGATAGATATGCCTGTGCTTTGACTAGACTTCGTATCCAGATATATGTATATTCTTAATATACCAAAAAAATTTCATGATCTCGAATAATCAATCTTCCACCTTAGCTTTAATCTTACCCACCTTCTCAGCAAGATTTCCTCTCATCATCTTACAATGGAATCTTTTGTACTGTTTATCAAGAATCTGTCACCCTTAAAATAAATCATTTTTATATTACGATTTTGTAGCTTGACACCTCGCATGCACATATATATATATATATATATCGTTTTTCCCAAATGGATTTCTATTTACGGAGATTAATTCATATGTATATGATCAGATCATAAGGACAGATTTGGATATCTGAGATGCAATTTTTCTCTCTATCATGAAGAAAGGATTGAAAATTCTAATTCAACATTTCGCATCAGTTCTATTGACCTTCTGATTCTACATAACTCGTCTTTTTTTTTCAAAGTTTCTCGAGTTCGAATAGAAATCGAAATATGGTCATCCAATGCATATGCATAGTGTGTATACAAAAACATAAGATGACATTATCTTAACAATAAAAAATAATATGCTACTTAGAAATACATCAAAAACTCTCTTATGTAATGAGCTTTCTATTGATGATATCATAAATTGAAAATATTTTCTGCAAAGTACTACTTGGTACTAAAATGTTTTCTAATAATACAATATCAAATATACATGTAGGTTGAAATACTCATGTAAAAAGCTTTCGATATCATTTCTAAGAAGAAGAAGAAGAATTCTGTTTCAGAGATGCAATCGGTATGCCGATTTTGTTGCGTTCTGTTATATAAAACAGACCAGTAGATCGGACATCATATTATTCGATAGTCTGTTTAGTTTGACAGAATGCAAGAAAAACGATATGTCGGTTGTATTGGTATTCTGTTGAGTTCAGAGATAGTAGGTGATTCAAACACAGAAGTTCGTTTTCTCGTAGAGAAGAGTCCAACAAAAACAAATTGTCTGCTTGCTTACTTTTGGGTTCACTCTTCACTTATTGGTCGTAGAACCATGCGAGAGAAAAATGGTGAACGAAGGCGCAGGGAAAAAAGGACTCATTTTCAGAAAGACTTGACCAACGGTAATCAACAGTGGGGATTCAGATTCGAGGTCTGTTTTTATTATTCAATTAATATTTGCCATAAAATTTGATCAAATGAAATCAAAGATGAAGAATCCA